TGGAGTAATTGGCCACTTGAACATAACCCGCCCATATCGAGGCAACATTTTTTTTTTTTTTCTGAATCTTCCTCAAATTAGTGATGTTCTTAGATGTTAGAGAAAAGAAATTCAACATGGAATTTTCAAGTCTTGAGATTGTTAATATTTTATTAAAATTTTAAGACAAGTGGTGTAATTTGTACTCTACTTTGGAGATAGATCATAGTATTCTTGATGAACTATTTTGAAATGTATTATGCACACAAATAACTGACAAAATAAAATATCTCTACCTATTATATAAGAAAAAAGCCAAGTTACTATAGTACCCCATCTTTTTGACACATGTATTGCACATATTTTTGACAAGTGGATTCTTGGCCATTTTAGCTAAACTTTTTCTTCCCTTTTTTGATTCAATTGGGCCAAAATAATTAAAATATTTTTTCTCTGACCCAAGTTACTATAGCACCCCATCTTTTTTACACATGTATTGCACATATTTTTGACAAGTGTATTCTTGGTCAATTTAGCTAAACTTTTCCTTCCCTTTTTTGATTCAATTGGACCAAAATAATTAAATTTTTTTTCTCCTTCAGAAAATCAACTGTGTCGCTTCTTCTTCTTCTTGCGGCAAGTGCTGTTATTTTTTATTTTTTAAAACTAATCTAACTAAAATTGTTGCCATGTTCTTTTTTTTTCGTCGAGATGATTAGCTACTTAACAAAGAGAAGTTTTTATTATTTTTTTATCCCATTTTACATTTTCTTTTCTTCCTTTTTTTTTCTTCATGTCTAATCTCTCATATTTGCTCTATTCTTCGATCATAATGTTATAGTCAACTGGCATTTGTTTGTTAAATTTATAGGATGATGCTATTATTTGGTATTTTTCATGGATAAAAGGTGAAATATTAAAATATGTAAAAAGATCTTAGAATTCATTTTATACCAATGATCATTTTCTATGAAGAATAGAACAATAATTCTTTCTTTTCTTTTCTACTCCCATGATTTGATTTCTTACTTCACATTTTTTTTCTTTTTCTTGTTTTTTGGTTACATTTTGTAATTATCTACAATTTTGTGTATTTTTTAAAGAGAAAAGATATATCATGTGATGCTTCCACCAAGATAAATCTAGTTAGGCATTCTTCTACCTCTGTGTTCTATAAGATTTTGTATATATTTAAACTAACGTTAATTTTTGTTTGTTTTTTAATTATTCAGGTTCTGTAGTATCAATTGGGTTGGCATATAAAAATTGTAGTTGGTGGTAGAAGTCACAATTAAAAATTGTTAGAAAATTAAATTTTGATTAGGAAGATATTTTTGCAATAAAAAAAAATGGTTCAATTCTAATTTGTATATGTAGATCTGGAAACGTAGCAATTCATATTTTTTTATCTAACCTTGCTATTTATATTTTGGAGCTGCAGGATAATGTTGTCACCTTTAAACGGGATTTAAATAAATAAAGAAAGAAAAATGTGAAACTTTAGAGTAAGTTATATTGATGTTGAAGATTGTGACATGTCTTAGTGGCTTTCTAAACTTTTTCTCATTATTAAAATACTAGAAGCATTATGACTGCTTTTGATTTAGTTACAACTAAGACTATGCTGCTAATTAATACAGCAATGCACTTGTAGTGTATTGATTTTCTCTCTTCTGTGGGTATTATCATAATAATAGTTCAAAAATCTCTATTCAAATCACAATAAATAGGGGTATTGACTTCATAGATGGAATTTCTCTTCACAACAAATTTTGAGGGAAATTTTATTTATACTCCATATTTTATTAATTGTATTCCTACAATATGATAAAAATAATAGTGAAAATGTGATTAACAAAAATGAGAGTTCAAATAACATTTGTTAATTTTAATTGTTTTGAGGCCCAATTTTCTTCTATATTTCTATTGATTTATCATGTGCCAAAATAATTTGATGTTATGTGTTTGACTAAATTTCTAGGGGGCCCAAGCTGTGCTTTGCACAGCTCAAGTACCTCTAGTTACATCTTTACTATACTAAAAGCGTCAGTTGGCTTAGCTACAGTGAAAATGGGCCGGTTATAGCGTGATTTGTGTGAGCTTGAGCGGCGGTTTGGTCTTTTGCCATTCAGTGGTGGTGGCTTTGCTGGAAATTTCCTGCTATCCGCGTGGCTTTGTTGTGGGCGGTGAGTTTGTTGCTATCAGCTGTCTGCATGGCTTTGGAACTTCAATGCTGTCCGCATGGCTTTCTTGTGGCCGGTGAGTTTGCCGCTATGAGCTGTCTGCATGGCCTTCGATTTGCCGTTGTCCGCGCGGTGGCTGTGTTCTTGCTCATTCTTAGCGAAGTAGTTAAATGTAAGTGTTCTGGACAAAGTGCAAGAATCGGTGCGCGCAGGCTTTGCAATCTCCATTACTGTGTCTCGTTCGTTTCTTAGCCTGTGCAAAACTAGCTCTCCGATTTTCCTGTGATCGGCAGAGTTTGAAGTGCCAACCTCATCGGTTTTGTTTGTCATATACCCATCTTCTATCCATCTCCTCCACTGAGGGCAATCTGATTTTGTAGTAAAGATATATATCTATCTTATATTTAATTCCCTCCACCAATCTCGTTCGTTTCTTAGCCTGTGCAACACTAGCTCTGCGATTTTGCTGTGATCGGCAGAGTTGGAAGTGCCAGCCTCATCGGTTTTGTTTGTTATATACCCATCTTATATCCATCTCCTCCGCCGAGGGCAATCTGATTTTGTAGTAAAGATATATACCTATCTTATATTTAATTCCCTCCACCGAACAATTTGATTTTGTTAATTCAATCCTTTCTCTGGATCTTATGAGACTTAATGCCCAACCAGTCTCGGTTTTGGGACTCTCCCCTAATCTTCGCTGCTTTGAACTTATCTTGTGTTAGATATAAGGTATAATTGGTCTGGTATTATTCTGCTTTTGTTGATTGTCGTGCATGTCTGTTCTCCAATCATTGAGGTTTATATAGAGGTTTATATAAATTAGAACGTGACCGGTATTTTATATGCTGTACTTTGGCCTATTTCCTTTCAATTCTTATGGAGCATGCGCATGGGAGTAAGCTTTGTTTGTGGTTAGGTGAATCAAAAGTTATGGTACTACTCTTATTGAAACCTTCTTACTTGTATATAGCTGAGCTTCTTTAATGGGTCGTCCACGGAAATATGCAAGCTTGGAAGAGGCGACTAGAGAGAGGAATGCGAGGAGACGACGGCAGCGTGGCAATGCGAGTGCTAATGACAGTTCTGGAGAATGCCGAGGTGTGTGTACTATGATTATTCATATATTAGTTATCTTGGAGTATTTAGCATATTAGTTATCTTGGAGTATTTAGCATATATCGCTCTTTCCTCATAATGCTTCTGTTCTGCTGATTTGTTGAGGTTTTCGAAAATTACGATTGGTGTGAGGAATGCTGGACTTTAGATGTATTAACGATGCTAATTCAAAGATTAGTGAAATATTTATTCCTTTGAACAGATACTGCTGCGAGGACAAGACTTTCTGTACCTATCGAGCAACCTTCTAGCGGCCTTTCATCTGTGGAATTGAGCTATAAGGGGACGGTTGGTATCAATACTGAAGGAATAAACAATCGAGATGGACATCACGTTGGATCGACCTGTTTGCATTCAAATGGTAGTTCTATCAGTCATGTAGGTAACAAAAGAACGGGACAAGATTGTGCAGAAACATCAGTTAGACGAATGCATGAATATGTAGAAGAATCGCACGCAGAATCAACAGCTTTGCCGTTGACTTCTGCCAGTAATATTGCTGGTTATTCAAGGGATGGATGCTCAGGGCCTATCATTGCTGACGGTGGTGCTTTGTCTACGCCAGCAAGCAAAAAGTGTAGATCAGTTCGCCGGAGTGATGCAGGGCAGGAACGGCGTAAGATGTTAGCAACGGATCCATTGAGCGTGGTCGCCACTGAGCCTGATATATTGCCAAATATTTCGGATTGCCAGCATTGCAAAGCAAAGAAATTTCAGTTTGAACCACTTGGGTTTTGCTGTTCTTCTGGTGAAATCCAATTACTTCCTACTGAAATGCCGAGAAAACTGATGATGTTGTATCTTGAGGATTCTGAAGAAGCTATTGAATTCCGCAAATGTGTTAGAAGTTATAATAACATGTTTGCATTTACGTCTATTGGAGTGAACTGTGACAAGTCATTGAATGAGTCTTATAATGGAATATACACCTTTAGAATCCAAGGTCAGATGTACCACTTTATAAATCAGTTAATCCCTAATGATGGTGAAAAAGCAAGGAATGTGCAGTTATATTTTTTTGATACTGATCATGAAACGGTAAATCGGTTATCCATCTCTAATAGATTTCGGCAAAGCCTAATTACTAAATTGGAAGAGATCTTGAAGATTAATCCTTATTCTGCTTTTTTTCGAGGCTTACAGCCAGATCAGATATAGATTCATTCTTCGTACCTGGTTCAGCCTCACAACTCTTCGCGGGTTGGTAAGAAGTCAGTCTTCTTTGGCTTGGAGATTTCCTTTTGGTTGATGTCTCGGACGCTAAACAAGCTCAAATGCCCTTTTTCAGTAAGAAAATCTCGAGTTAAGACTTTGCACCACATTGTGCCACATGTTCGAAGGAGACTGAGGGACTTTAAAAAATTTGTGTTGAAATTATGGCGAATGTCAACTAAGCCCTTGAGTTTTGATTGCTTTGGCAAATAGTGCTCTACTATTCATGGGCATTTTTGTCTATCCAAGTGTTAAATGTCCACTAAGCCCTTCAGGAATAAAAGGAGGCCAGAATAGTTCCTAACTGTTGGGGGGTACTATTGTAATTTCGAATCATATCTCCCCCTTAGTTGCATTTGTTAGGGTAATAAAGATTTTTCTGGCAACTTTCTGCTGTTGGATCGTGTCTTAATCTAAGATTGATGCCTAAGAACCGTTGGATCATTCCTAATGATGATTAAAGAATTGATTGTTTTCCTTACCTGGAGAGTTTGCACGAACTGATGATTGTTATCTTCCTTCTCCCGTCTCTTCTCTTTTTTGGGTAAGTCTCCCCTCTCTTCTCTCTCTGGCTTCTCTATTTCTTCTTTCCTTTCTCTTCCCTTTTTATGCCTGACAATCACCGCAATTTCTTTCTTATTTTCACTGTAGATTTTTTCCTTTTAGGTATTTGTACTTGCAGACATGAAACCCACAAAATTTTTCATAGATTAAGTGTATACTTTTACCCTAAAATTCAGGGATTTTTTGCTCAAAAAATGGTCCCTTGTCTGATTCACTAAGCCCGTACGAACCCTTATTTCTCAACCTTCAGATCTTTGTCAACAATTTCTGACTCTAAATTTTACTCTCTCGGCTTCGATTTGATGGCTGCTTAGTAAGAGGGAAGTAGAATCAGTATTAAAAACCGGAGGAATAGAAAAGGGCGCTTGAGGTTAGAGGCTTTATAGGATATACATCTTATTTCATTTTCTCATAGGTGAAAAGAAAAATAGAGAGGTTTCTTGCCTTTTGGTGTATTCCTCTATGGTAAAGAAAATTTTAAAACTTGTTTGCTTTTTTCTTCTTCGCATAGCAGACACACGAATGCTACACAATTAGTGTTTTTTTTTTTTTTTGGTATTTTCAGCTTTGTTTGGAAAGTGGAAAATCCTCGCAAGTGGTTTGGTGCCTTTTGTTCCCTTGCATCCTGGTAAATACATTTCTTGCCATTCTTTTTTTCTTTATTTTTTTTCACCACGGATATATATACTGATCAGTAATATTTTTTTTTTTTTTGTAATTTTCAGCTTTGGTCCGAAAATAGAAAAGGTTTTGCAGTAAAATTTCTGTTCATTCCAGGTTAGTTTACCTCTGATTTGTATCATTAATTTGCTGAAATTTTTGTTAATATTATATGGGCTGATATTTTAAATATTGTAATATTAGTGTTATGTGCCTATATGTTTGGCTATTTACTCTTATGATAAGTTTTTGCTTATGCTTCTTAAGAAGATATAGCCGCGCGTTACTGGTTTTATGTGGTATTTTAAGGCATCGAAATATTAATAAAGTGTATTTTAAAAAACATTCTTATTGGCCAAAAAAATTAGTGATTTTCCTCCCCAATTTATGCTTGGCCTTCCGATTTACCTTCTATGTACACTATCTCATCTCCCAACCATGCAATTCTTTTTTTTCCCAGAAAAAGGAGAGAATCAAAGAGGGGAAAGCACTATACATCTCCCCTCCCCACCCCTATTTGCCTTCCTAGCCAAAAACATGAAGAAAAACTCACACTTTCACATCAATTTTCAGCCATTTGATGAATTTATTGTTGAGTTTTTCTAGCCTTTTTTCCCCCAAAATTGACCTCCTAGCCGAAATGTTTGCTTTTTTTATTATTGATTGTTTTGTAAGTTTGAAAGAATCAAGAAGAAGCACAGCAAAGTAAACATCCAGTGTTTAAGGTGTGTGATCATCTCTTACAATAGTAGCATGCTTTGTGTTTGATGATTTGCTTCTAAAGGTAGCTTTACCATTACACTGGTTTAGTTTTCTGAAAATTTACGTGTCCCATTGTTATGGAGTATTAGATGATTTGAGAGATGTTCTTTAGCTTACTGTTCGGTCCTAAACAAAAATGATTTTACTTTTCCCTTTGTGTTTGTATGCTGAATGATCCTTTAATGTCTTGCAATGGCTTGAACTATCTTTAAATTCCATTGGAAATAATACTTTGATAGACCTAGAAACATTAATTTCATCGATTGTTTTTGACTTTTACTGCATTGTCATTTTAGTGACTATCATACTTAGGACCAGACCAGTTAAAGAGTATTTCCCCAGCTTCTACTGTCTTGGTTCTAATTTTCCACATGTTATGGGGCTCAGCAAGTAGAATCTGCACTCAAATCACGATTTGTTTTATATAATTTGATTTCTGCTTAAATTTTGGTTTTAGGGACTGGTCATGCACTGAATAATTCCTGGCACAGATAACCACTTCTGAGTTCCATACCTTGGTTCATTGAAAGGGGATTGTTCAATGGACGGATCCTAACTTGGGGGGACAGAGACTTTTAACATACCTCAGTCTTCAATTATTTTGCAGCTTCCTTGTTATATTAGTTTCTCTGGTTTTGCGCATGGACATGGGCATTGCTTTAATTACCCTACTGCTATAATAGTTTGCACATGGACATGGTTTCTCAACATGATGACAATTAAGATCTTCCTTGTTCTATTAATTTTAAAATTGAGAGTTATAGGGAATTTTTCAATATTTTTTACACAACAAATTGTGCATTGGCTGTGCCTTGCAGAGCCAGAAAATTTCTATTTTACTTATAAATGCAAGTGTGTTTCTTTTGCTTCAGCTTTTTATTTTTTATTTTTTATTTTTTTTTATGAAAAAGCCATTTGAGATGTACTCTCTCATAAGTTATTAAATAAACTTTTGAGCTTAAAAATAAGACATAGAAAAGTAAATGAGAACACCACAAACAGAATTTATCTCATAAAACTTAGAATTTACTATTTTAAAGAACATGAAAATAGCAATTTTTTGTTTGTAGGGGGGGTATTCTAAAAAATGAATAAACTTTTATGTCATCTGAATTTTATTCCTAAAAGTTTGACTATTTGAAATATAGTTAACTTTTTAAAGACTGATTATACTAGCTAACGTCTTTTACTTTACAAATGTAATGTTTACCTACAATACCTTGCGCAAAGCAAAGATCAAATTCTTGAGAAAATATAATGAGTTTAACCACTTAATCCAATGATTGTTCTTGCTAAAACTTTTAATTTCAAAGCTGAGGAAAAAAAAAGATAAAAAGAAAAAGGGAAGAGGTAGAGTACGAAATTCAATTCAATCTACGAGTAAATGATGTCTAATCCAAATTACCACGTCCTTCAATTGTATATTAATTAAATTTCCAGAAATTTCAATAAAGCCCACCCCTCATAATATAGTAAATCACTGTCGAGCCTCATTATAACCCTAGACTAGTTTGGGAGTTTATGATAAAAAAGAAAAGAAGAGTAATGTAATGATAAGTTATTAAAGAAAACAAAAGAAGGGAAAGGAGAAGAAATTTTGATATTATTTGAGAGTTTTTAGAAGGGAACGATTTTGGGTATACATATCAATAAAGTTTCGTGAGGATAAAATGGACAATTTGAAAGAAAGTTCTGTAAGCTTCCCATGCGTTTTCCTTTGCCTTCCGCCCCTTTTTGGTCGGAAAAAGATTTACAAATTCATTTTCCTTTACTTTCCGCACTTGGGATGCTCCAAAATTCGTTCGTTCCATTTCTTTTCCGTCTCACTTGAAGGTCCCAAACATAACGTTTCCCTCCCTTTTCTTTTCTTCTCTCTCTCTTTTTTTTTTTTTTCGTTTTCGTAGAAATCTCACCTTCTTTAATAATTTTTCCACTTCTTTCTCAAAGAATTTTCAGCTCTCCGCACATAATTTATTCAGACGCTACACTTCTTCAATTGCCTTCCTCTCCCTTGTGGCTGTTATCTCTTGTATCATTCCCCCTTTTTCTCCCTATTTCCGAAACAGCCCCAAATTCTAGGTTTTACGTTCAATTCGCTATGCCTTTCTGGTAATTTTCTTCCTCACTTTACTTTTCCTTCAGTCAGACGCCTCTATATCGCTTCTCCCATTCGTATGTAAATAATTATTTGTTTTTTTCCCTTTTTGTTGAGCATTAGGTCAGGGTTTAAATCAGTGTTGAAGTGTGCAAAATTCTTTATGCATGCATTGATAAATTTGTTTAAAAGATTTAATCTTTACTTGTTACAGCTGATTCTTGAGTGAATTAGACTGAAAATTGTACTTTTATTGATGGGTTTTGTTAGCTTCTGATTTTTTTTTTGATTTCATTTGACCTCTATTTTCAGTTCATGTGATCACCTATGTTTATCAAATTTTAGAAATTTGGCGTTTGATCTCTTGGTTGTGAAGCGCTATACGCATAATCTTTCTTTTTCTAGTCTTTTATCTAGGTCGATGTTTGGGATGATTTTTTTTTTTTGGCTGGGATTTTACACTTTAGTATCTGTTTCGAGTATGAATTACTTTTCGAGAACTGAATTCGATAAAATAGCCAAAAATTTAGCAAAAAAATAGTAGCTTATGACTCAATAGACAATTGTTGTGTTGTTTCTGTGGCTCCCTTCTGTGGTTTGGTGGCAACAAGAAAGCAGACATTGCTAATGAACTGGTAGAGCACATTCGAGAGTGCTAGCTGTGTTTTCCTGCCTTAAGAGAGAGAGAGAGAGAGAGAGAGAGAGAGAGGGGTTTGATTGTTACTTGCCTTATTTGTCCCTTCTGCCCTTCCACATTATCTTCCATGTAGGGATGTATGCGAGCCGAGCTACTTGCGAGTAGCTCGGGGTCAACGGGTTGGCTTGAACTCGGGTTGACCGAGTTCGAGCCGAGTCTCGAGCTACTTGATTGTCATTCGAGTTGAGTTTCGAGCCAATATTTTGAGGCTCGTGGCTTGTCGAGCTACTCGACGAGTCGAAGGTTTATTTAAATAATATATTTATAATTTAAAAAATATATATGTATTATAATTATAAAATGACCGTTATGGGTATAAGTTATACTGAATTTATGATATACTTTTCTTTATAATAAAATTTTATAATGGCAAAAAAGTAATAACATAATTGTAAAAAGACCTAAAAAGAAAAAATGTCTAGAAAAAGGGAAGAAAAGATGGAAAGTGTGTCAAAAAATTGTGAAAAATTCCAGACTTTAGTTTCTACTTTCTTCTCTGTTCGAAGAAAGTTGAGAAAAAATTCACTTTCTGTTCGAAGTACATCACTACCAACCACTGACTCTGAGTGATTTAGATCTAAACCCTATCTCCGTTACTCTCAGTCTCTCGCTCGTCGCCGACGCCGTTGCTCGCCGCATCTGTCAAACTCCATCGCCATCGCTACAGAGTGAGCTCGCCGCATCTGGTTACTGGTATGTCTGCCTCTGCTCTAATGTAGTATGATTGATTACCGCATCTGGTTACTCCAATCATATTGTGATGCCCCCTGACAAATATTCATGTACCGTGTTTGAGTCCAGAAGAGGAATCTTGATAGGAATACTCCTTTTTGGCTTCTGTTGGATATTGGTGATTTTGATAGCCTTAACATAGGGAACAAGCACCAATCTTGTTTATGGGTAAATTTAAGATGACTGGGATGCATGCTACATGTTTGTCAAAATGTGTAAGAGATGACAGAACGAACCTTATTAGCTCTGGAAAGACTGATACATGTCACAGAAAATCACTTGTTTTTTTTTTTGGTAAGAATCACAGAAAATCACTTGTGATGTTTGCTTAAACCAAGTGACCGGGGAGACCCTATGAGCTGACTGCTATCTAACTTATTGTGCGGAGAAGCAGCTGAATCCTGAATGATGGCAGATTTTCCTTGGGCGTAAATCATTATGGGATGAAAGCTGGCCTTTTCTTTTTCATTTCTTCTTCCTTTTTTTTGGTTTAATTTTTGCAAGTTTTGATTATGGCTTTTTCCAATAGAAAGGAAAGGAAAGGGGACAATCTGGCAAGGGGGGCTTCTTTTTCTTTAGCCAAGTGTCAATTTAGCCAACCTAGTTTTAATTGACCTTTTTTGGCGTTGCTTGTAACTTTGATGTTGGTTGTGATCATTGGATCAGTTTGCAACAAATGGGTCCATCATTTTTATGCTTACTTTTCATTTGCTCCTTTGCTTTCTTATTTATTCTGTTCTACAGTACACAACGCCAAGGGGCCGAAGCACATGAAATTTTCTGTTTTCACTATGTCATACCTTCCATTTATCTTTTAATTGAAAAAGCACTTGTAAAATTAGTGATATTTGTGGGGAAAAGGAATTTCTGGATAGATCTTGGCATTAGTTTCTTGAATTGAGCTTGTGGTAGTTGGGATATTGTGGCTGTTTGAGATAATTGTTTGTCTCTCAATTTGGTGGCTCAGCTCATGTTTTGCTGAATTTTGGAATTTTGTGGGGAATTTTGGTTAGTTTGGGTACTTTCGCAGGACTTAGGGGTGTTAAAGATGCTAACTGTGGGAGGTAGAATGTGGATACTTTTGGTTGTATTTGTATTGATGAATCATGGATTATATGCCTCATTTACTCCAACTGATAGCTACTTGCTTGCCTGTGGATCTTCCCAAAACGTCACCTTTTTTGGTCAGACTTATGTTCCTGATTCAGTTCAATCTTCAGTTGCTGTGAAAGGTCAGGGGAACTCTATTGTTGCAAACTCCAATTCTAGTGGTGCCCCTTTTCCAGTCTACCAGTCAGCTAGAATTTTCCCCAGTAGTAGTTCATATAAGCTTGATATTAAGCAAGAAGCAGACGGCATTGGTCGAATCGAGTCAAAAAGCTTGATTAGACTCGACTTGATAAGGCTTGACTAAAGGTCGAGCCTTATTGAGTTGAGTCTCGAGCTTAAAGGGAGTACCTCGAGTCAAGCCTCGAGTATCGTTTGTTTGGACTCGGTCGAGCTTGAGCCGAGCTCGAGCCTAGGTACATATGAGTCGAGTTGAGCTCGAGTATAGCAATACTCGAGCTCGACTTGGCTCGAGTACATCCCTACTTCCATGGGCATTTAGGTAGGAAGGTATGATAAGATCGTTTAGTTTCTACTCGAGCTCGACTTGGCTCGAGTACATCCCTACTTCCATGGGCATTTAGGTAGGAAGGTAGGATAAGATCGTTTAGTTTCTTACTTAAGAAGTTTGATCTTTAAACAAAACACTTCACAGTTTGGGCAAGCTGGATTTACAACAATGGTGAGGTTTTTTGGCTACTAGTTGAGCTTTCTTTTTACAATAGTTTGACTTATAAAAGAAAAATCCATCTGACAAAGCTATCAAGTGCCATGACGACAGTAGTCTGGATTTTCTTATTCATGATTGGCATGGGTTGCATGGTGTCATTTTAGTTTCTGTATGGTGATATTTTACAGCGTGTTTAGTTTTTCTATGGTGATATTTTACAGCGTGTGCTAAAGTGTTACTGAGGTCATTTATATAACACTCCATGTTCACTGCTGATATTCAGAACAGCTGTCTTATCTTAATGGAAATCGGAATGCTATTCCTCTAATCGTCCTTGGAGGGAGGTAGAGCCCTATGAAGAATAGTGAATTAGATAGAAAAGCCAACATTTTTTTTTCTTTCCTTTTATAAAACACTCCATTGTTGTTTCGCAAATTCTTTCACTTATTTAGCCTATTTTAGACTCCACAGGAGATAATGATGACGGAGGAAGATGATGATTATGTTGAGTACATCCCAGTTGCAAAGAGGAGGGCATTAGAAGTCCAGAAAATATTGCAACGGAAAGGTAAATCTTCTACCCTGGAAGAAGAGGAAGCTGAAAAATTGAAGCTTGTAGAAGCAAAGCCTAGTTTGCTAGTAAAGGCCTCACAGTTGAAAAAAGAACAACCTGAAATTAGCCCTACTGAACAAATGGTACAGCAGGAGAAAGAGATGATTGAGCATCTCTCTGATCGCAAAACTTTGATGTCTGTTCGGGAGTTGGCTAAAGGGATTACTTACACGGAACCATTGTTTACGGGGTGGAAACCGCCGTTGAATATAAGGAGGCTGTCTAAGAAAGTGTGTGATGCAATAAGGAAGCAGTGGCATATTATTGTGGATGGCGAAGATATTCCTGCACCAATTAAGAATTTTAAGGATATGAGATTTCCTGACCCGATTTTGAAGAAGCTGAAAGCGAAGGGGATTGTGCAACCAACCCCTATTCAGGTTCAAGGTCTTCCTGTTATATTAGCAGGAAGGGATATGATAGGCATAGCATTTACGGGTTCTGGTAAGACACTGGTGTTTGTTTTGCCACTGATCATGGTGGCACTTCAAGAAGAAATAATGATGCCAATTGCCCCTGGAGAAGGGCCATTTGGTTTAATTGTCTGTCCATCACGAGAACTTGCAAGACAAACTTATGAAGTTGTGGAGCAGTTTCTTGCACCCATGAGGGAGTACGGTTATCCAGAGTTAAGGCCATTGCTTTGCATTGGTGGAGTTGACATGAAGTCTCAGTTGGAGGTTGTGAAGAAAGGAGTTCACATTGTGGTTGCTACGCCAGGAAGACTCAAAGATATGCTTGCAAAGAAGAAAATGAATCTTGACAGTTGCAGGTAACTTTGTTCTCCTTGGACTTAACTAGTTGTATGTTGTGCTTGGTATTTTTTGCTCTCTCTGTTTGCCTTGTGAATCACATATTATGAAGCTGTTTTCTTTCTAAGTACCAAGCTAATATTATCTGTATTTTTTGTGTTATATTTGGCACCAAATATAATTGGTGTCTGTTCTTAGTCCTTGTGATGATGACTGGTTCTGTGAGAAGTATATGCTCTTTAATGTCATCTATTAGTTTTTGATTTGCATGATACTTTTCCATGTTAGAGGTCAATCTTAAGTGTTGAGAGGATTTGTGATCTCTGTGTTCTATTGGAAAATAGAAGAGCATAATTTCTTTTCAGATATTGTTATGTATGAATGCATGCTTTGGTTAAATGTAGAATGTGTAGACATCAATTGGACATACAACCATTAGGACTTTCTAGACTGGTTACCTGTGTTTCACTTTCAGTTTTTGTGTTATATGAAACTTTCTGGTTTATAGCAGAGTCTATTTAATATCTAGTGACCATTTACATCTGTAAAGGGCCTGATTGGGATGTTAATGCAAGTTATGACCAATTTCTTATTGGTTTTCACTATGTTGCAAAAGTTTCTATTCTGAATCCAAGTGATGAATTAAATGATAGTAAAAAGAATGTTTATGTTGTAGTGTTGTTACTTTTTTTTTTTTTTCCCCAAAAAGCTTGTTTCTTGAAATAATGGACTGCTTAGGAAGAGTATATGTTGATATCATCATTATCTACACAAGATGCTACTGCTAGTATCTGGATTTGGAGGTAAATACACAATATAAAGCTACAATATGATCTTCAAAGTTGGTATAGATAATGTATTCTGGACATCATTGGAGAATTACTGGGAACTGGAAGAAAGATTTGAGACCAAAATTTTTGTGTCATTAAAAAACTATTTTGGTATAATACAGCAGCATTTGACTTATGAAAACAGAAAAAGAGGTCCTACTTAGGTAGTGGTCATCTGAGAGCTGACAATTAGGTAGAGTTGTTAATCCACCTGACGGAATAAGCCTTTCTGCCTAAAAAGGAATGATCTGTTGAGTTGGGGATTGCGCTCTCCGCCAATCTATTCAATGCTGGAATTAGACCTGAGTCGGGTGGAAGAAGAGACGCGGGGGGTGGGGGGGGGAGCTCTCTGTTCCTGGTTCTCCAGTTTGAAAATTTCTATAAAAAGTTAGTAAGTAATCAATAGACAATGACATAATACTGGTGCAAGTAGTTGGAGTTGGAATCTGACCAACATGTAATCCTTCAGCAGCTTTAGACTATTTAACTAAAACTTCTACCTGATGTTTTAGACACTGGTGGCTGCATATGATTTTAGAAGATCAACGAGCTAACTAATATGATGTTTTTCTTGATTTCTGGAGAATTTAAATTTTCATGTCTGTCAAGGGAGTATACCTGTTGCTTGCAACTCCAATGGATCTTAGAGATGTCTAACGACAAAAACTAGGTGTATGGAAGCTGAAACTTGTACTTGTTGCTACGTTTATAACTGATGGTGTGTATGGTTGAAGAATGAGTTCAACTGACATTGATGTGGGGTGCTGGTGGTTAAGCAAATATAACTTTCTTATTTATTGGGTGTGGTGCTGATTTAGGATCTAAGTTTTTGAAAGAGTAGAATTCATAATTTCAAATGGGTGTAGTTTTTGCTCTTTGGATCTGTGCTATTTATTCTGATGGCACTTAAACTAGCAAGAACATACAGAGTTATGTTTTACACCATTGTTAGCTGCTTCTTTCTACTTTTCTATTCTCTTAAATATTGGACCTCAAACTTACCACTTTGTTTCGTATGCAGGTATTTAACATTAGATGAAGCAGATAGGTTGGTGGATTTGGGTTTTGAAGATGACATAAGAGAAGTCTTTGATCACTTTAAAGCTCAGCGTCAAACTCTTTTGTTTTCTGCCACAATGCCCACAAAGATCCAAAAGTTTGCAAGAAGCGCATTGGTTAAACCCGTTGTGGTTAATGTGGGAAGGGCTGGAGCGGCAAACCTTGATGTGATTCAAGAGGTGGAGTATGTTAAGCAAGAGGCAAAGATTGTTTACCTCCTTGAGTGCTTGCAGAAGACACCTCCTCCTGTTCTGATATTCTGTGAGAATAAAGCTGACGTTGATGACATTCACGAATATCTTCTGTTAAAGGGCGTTGAAGCAGTTGCAATTCATGGAGGAAAAGATCAAGAAGAGAGAGAGTATGCTATCAAGTCCTTTAAAGAAGGCAAGAAAGATGTGTTGGTTGCCACTGATGTTGCCTCAAAGGGTTTGGACTTTCCAGATATTCAGCACGTGATTAATTATGACATGCCAGCAGAAATAGAAAATTACGTTCACAGGATTGGTCGTACTGGAAGATGTGGGAAAACAGGAATTGCAACGACATTTATCAACAAAAATCAGAGTGAAACTACACTTCTAGATTTGAAGCATTTGCTACAGGAGGCAAAACAGAGAATACCTCCAGTGCTGGCAGAATTGAATGATCCAATGGAGGATGTTGATGCAATCACAAATGCTAGTGGAGTCAAAGGCTGTGCTTACTGTGGCGGACTTGGTCATCGGATCCGTGATTGTCCCAAGTTGGAACATCAAAGGAGCACACAAATAGCAAGTTCAAGAAGAGACTACTATGGATCTGGGGGCTATCGCGGGGAAATTTGAGTTTTTTCCTTTGGATTGTGCCAATGAGTTTGTAAATGGAAACTGTTTGAAGGTAGAATATATTTTGTTGTAGTTGTTAACGTAATGATGTATGACAATTTTCCTTCTCTTTTTTGCGATTAATATTGTGGAAGCCCTAGACATTGGTGCATCTTTATTTCCTTTTCCTTTTATTGTCAAATGGTAGAAGACCATGTTGCAAATCCGTTGAGGGATAATATTTGGGAACGGTTATGCACTCGCCCTCCTTTACATGGCGTCACGGACAATCATATACTCCCTTGCTGTTCTTGTACAGGTGAACGTTACGTGACTTAGGTGTAAAATGTCACTTTTTTATTACACACGAGGTAAGGCCACTAGACATTCAGCTGATCTCGTTCCTGACTCCTTGATGAAGATCATCTCTGAATTATGGGGCATGCTGAACTCGGGCGGTTTTGCTCTGCTTTGGAATATGTGCCTACAGTTTCATTATGTGAACTTTATGCGAAACACATCTTTTAGGCGCATTATGAGACGTTTAAGTAGAGGTGTTAAAATGGGTGACTTGGGCGGATTTGAATTGGGTAAAATGGGTAATGGGTAAATTAGATGGGTATAAATAGGTAAGTTAAAAAATGAATTGGATAACTCAATTACCCATTTATAACTCATTTATTTTAACTTTTTGTAAACTCATTTAAATTCATTTTTGCAAACTAAGTTATCAATTTATACTGCTCTTTGCACCCATCATTAGTTTTAAATATTTACTTATAATGCTCAATAAGCCTAATTACTATTTTTTTTCCATCCATACTCTATGTCGCAAAATTACATATTATTTAATAATTGAATAATAAGAATATAAACATTTGAACTAAGTACTATAAAAGTTAATATAAAAACTTAATCCAAAAATTTTGAACCCCTAACATTTTTTTCATAAATAAATTCAAAATTTCATTTTGGAAAGATAAGAAAAGAGGTTAAAACTTATCATAAATTAGTAATGCTGAAAAATGAGTAAGTTAACAAACTAAGATAAAATAAAATGATAAGATAAAACCAACAAATAATAATAATAATGAAACAAAAGTAGTTAACATCATGACAAAATAAAAAATTTGAAAAAAAAAGGGGTGGGGGAAGAGAGGAGACTTGGGGAAGAAAATTTTAAATGAGTTAATTGAGTTTGATTGGTTACCCATATACAAAAATTTAAGATACCCATACCCATCTATTCATGGGCGGGTATGGGTAAATTTAGTTAAATGAATTGATTTGCTACCTATACGTTTAAGGAGCATAATTACTTGATCAGATTGTTAATTAATAAGTCCATTATAGGTACAACGGATAGAAAGGAGAGACCTGGAAAGAAACTTGAGATCTAAGCTTAGTAAAATTCCATGGCCTTCGACAAGATTCCTCAAATTTATATGCCCGGGAGCTAGTCATATATTTAGCTAGGCCTTGTTGGAGCACTCAGGGTTCTGGTCAAAAGTGATGGATCAAAATCTTGGCACAGTACTTGTAAAAGGCCAGTCCTCTCCTTCTGTGCATGACGAAGAACAACCTAAAATTACTTATTGTTTGGGTAAAAGAAAAGACCAAGCATCAATTTGCAAGACATAGGAACGGTAAGGAAAACCCTGAGGCATCATTACCTTAATAGGTTCAATGGCTAAAGCCCATAGGAGGAAATATCTCTGCATTCTTCGCTATTAAAATCAAAATAATAATGCATATCTTCAAAGTGATCACGAACCTCAGTTTACACCTAAGGGAGGTTTGTAATTTTGTCTGACAACCTAGAGGGGAGGTTTGTGTTATTTTCAAATCTAGAAGGGAGGGCTTCATCTCTTTGACAAACTAACGGGAGCTTGGTCTAATTTATCCAAAAAAATTGAAAAAAGAGAGTCATGATTGTAGTATAACTTTGAAGTATATGTAATAAACCCTTGCAACTTCTTCAAAAAGTTGCTGCACTATGCAGACTAAAAAAAGAGCAGAAAAGGGAATGAAATGGCAGAGTATCTGTATCTTCAAGTACGACGCTATGCATGTAATGAAGCACACGTGACACTAAGGGAGAGGAAAAAAGAAGGTGAAGATATAGAGATAAGTGGCTGTACAAGAAATATATGACTAAGCTACAGATTTGCACAGGTTTTATTCTAAATACAAGTCCTTAGGTGATTCTTTCACTTTTCAACCTATATACTTCAAGACCATCATCCAGAAAAAAACACCGACAAATGACTTAATACAGGCTTGTGGTTTTGCAAGGGACAGCTGGGTGTACTTCGTAGGGTCGTCTTGAATTAAGCTACAGAAGAACATAGACTGCAAGCTTTGCTAGTTGACCGGAACTTCCACCGCCATCTTCAGATTAGCATGATCAAAATACTTGACACAAAAGCAGTTAATGATGATTTTGAGAAAACGGACTAATGGTAGTCGGCAATAAAACAAGCAGCGGCCCCAAGTGAGACAGCTAAATATAACATGGGTATCAAGTAATTGGTTGTTACCATGTCAGGGAAGTACAAGTATGATGCACCGGAATTCTCTGCATCGACTTTATCTTGTTTTGATTGTTATTACACTTGATCAGTGATCAATTTTGTAGCAATGCAGTTAGTTAGACGGTTGGCAAGAATCTTGCTTATGTCAGCTGAGGTCATCAGTTAGTTAGTTAGTTAGTTAGAGGCAGCCGACTTAATGAACCTATAAATAGGAAGCTACTCACGCAGAACAGTATCATGATCATTCATTTGTAAAATCTACAATTCATTATTTTACCTACTTCTTCTCTAATCCAATAAATCAGATATTCATCTCCATGGTCTACGAATTATTTCTCCACAATCTCTGTAATTCCTTGATCAAGGAACCTGGAACTCCACTGGCCTCCGCATCAGTGGTATTAGAGCAAGGTTTTCGCTGGCTCAGATCATTAATGGCAGAGGGCACTAGGTCTCAGGATGTTAGGAAAATGGAAGAACATGTTCGAGCAATGTTATGGGAGCAGCAGGAGCAATTTGAGAAAGAAATGGCCGCGCTACTGAACTTGGTGATAGAACTACACACACAGAAGGCTTAGGCTGAAGGAAATGATTCACCTCACAATTCAGATACTCATATAAATAATGGAGGAGGTTATCAGATTCCATCTCGGTTATCACGGGTAGATTTCCTCAGATTTAATGGAGAAGATTTTAGAGGATGGCTGTACAAGAGTGAACAATTTTTTGAGGTAGATGAAACTCCTAGTTATATGAAGGTCAAGATAGCTGCCATGAATCTGAAGGGCAAGGCTCTCCAATGGCATCAAATCTTCATGAAATCCAGATTGACACGTGAAACACCGTCATGAGATGAGTATGTGAAAGAGTTATCTTCAAGGTTTGGGGACTCATTGTATGATGATCCTATGGGAGAACTCAAGAGCCTCAGACAAACAGGTTCTGTACAAGAGTATCATGATCTGTTTGAGGAACTCCTCAACAGGGTGGACCTTCCTGAGGACTATGCTACGAGTTGTTTCATAAGTGGATTGAAGCCAGACATTCAACTATCTGTCAGGATGTTTATGCCCAAAAATGTACAGCATGCCAGGGTCTTGGCCAAGATCGAAGAGGCCAAGGTGGTGATGCATCAGAAGGGGACGGTGCCTCCCAGATTCTCCATGAGTTACCAAGATCATGCTAGCACTTCACAATCCCATGCTACTGTTTCTGGTAATAAATGGAAGGCAGATTCTAGGCCCTTATTGCCCTCACCTACTCTCCATGCATTACCCTGCAAGGAAAGGCAGAAGGATGTGGTTCATAAGAGGCTCTTCAGGAGGCTGAGTAGAGCAGAAATGGATGAAAAAAAGAAGCAAGGGGACTTTGTTTCTGGTGTGATAACAGGTTTGTGGCTGGGCATAGGTGTGGTAATAAGCAGTTCCACAGGTTGGAAGTCTGGGATGAATTGGTGGATGAGGAAGAGAGTGAGTCAGCTGAGCAAGAAGAAACAGTAGATGAAGGCAAACTAGCCCACATATCCCTCAATGCCATGACCAGCATGACTGTGCCAAACTTCAGAACCATGAGGGTCACTGGACATGTTGAGAAACAAACTGTGAACATTTTCATAGACTATGGCAGTTCACACAATTTCATTCATCCTAGGGTGGTGCATAAACTGGGGGTCAATATCATGAGGGTTGAACCATTAGTGGAAGAAGTAGTAGACGGGAACAAATTAACCACCCAAGACCTCTGTCCTGGGTTCACTTGGAAGATGCAAGGGCAGGAATTCAAGGCAGACCTATTGGTATTACTAGTGGGAGGGTCTGAGCTGGTTCTTGGTATGCAATGGTTGACAACTCTTGGAGATGTAAAGTGGAATTTCTAGGAGCTCAGAATGGAGTTCATATGGAATGAACATAAGGTGGTCTTGAGGGGAATGAAACAACAAGGGCTGCAGTTAGTGAAAAGGAAGAAGATGCAAAGGATCCTTCAGAAACCTGAACAAATCATGACAGCACAACTTTGCCTAATCAAGGTGGTGCAAAACCCCAGCTCAGAACCCCTATCTCTTTATGCTATTACTGCTGAAATAGGTGGAGATCAGGTTAGTAGTTCAGTAGAACTTGAACAGCTATTGAATGATTATGATGATGTGTTTCAAGAACCTAGTGGACTACCTCCAGAGAGATTGCATGATCAAAAAATTATCCTTAAAAAGGGGCCAAAACCTATCAATGTGAGACCTTACAGGTACCCTGTTTTTCAGAAAGGTGAAATTGAAAAATTGGTAGCTGAAATGTTAGCTTGTGGTATTTATTAGACCTAGTTCAAGTCCTTTTTCCTCCCCTGTGGTGTTGGTTAAAAAGAAGGATGGGTCTTGGAGGATTGTGTTGACTACAGACAGTTAAACTGTGAGGACCCGAAATTTTACTTATTTTAATGTTATTTTACCGGCTTAATTAATTATATATTCACCCGTTTACCCCTAATAATTTATTTCAACCATTTTAAGTCCATTTGTATGGAACAATGTCTTCTTTGTGTTTTAAAACGTTTCGTTAGAAAAATTTATTTTTTGAAAGCTCGTTTAGTAAGGAATAACGAGTATACGTTTTTCGAGGTAAACTTCGATTCGAGAGTGTAATTACCTTGGAGAATTAAGGATGAGCAATAGTGGACTAAGAAGAGTTAATTGAGAG